TGGGTGAAACTCATTTTGGACTTCTGAACTCCAGAATTGTAAGATAAAAATATCTGTTGCTCAAAGCCGCAAAGCTTAGGGTAATCTGTTATAGCCGCGATAGAAAACTAATAGAATCTGACAGTTTCTTTATCGCCACTTAGGCGTTTTATATGAATTTTGGCAAGCTACATGACCTCCTCATCTTCAAAGCAGGCATAATGACACAAACTCTGAAGGACTCTCATCAGGATTTAGCGAGACAACAGTATGTGTACTTGGGGCACAGTACCCACACATAGCTGATGCTTAGTGAACGTTAATTCTCTTTCCTATAGAAATGCTCGTTCCTAGCTTGTACTTGATCTAAGGATTTCTGGTAGATCATTCATGGTGAGTCAGCCTTTTCCTGAATACCCTGAGTGACAGAGAGCTCCCTCCACTCATTTCGTTTTCCAAATGATTGTTGTTACAGTCGTCCTCCCTGGTTTCTATGTACTGGTTTTAGTCTGTCTTTGGAGTTAATTGGAATAAATAGCCACACGAACCCTGCTAGCCTATAAAGTGCTTTTGTGCAAATGGGAAAAAAGACTGCCTCTTTTCAAGGTTTGTACTTTACTTTCCTCGGTTGGAAAATCGTCACTACAATGTGCCAGTTTGGTCGCACTAGGCACTTCGTTGCCACGGTTCACAAAATTGTTCACCATGTCTGAAGGATCCGGGATGTCTCCCAAGTGAAGGGCGCCCCCTTCAATGCAGCCCTAGGTGGAGTTCACCACTTGCGCGTCTAATCATGGCGCCCTTGAGTGACCACTGGTTTAAACGATGCTTTACAAGTGGGGAAACAGATTCAAATGTTTAACAAATGCCAAAGATCACATAGCAAGGTAGTGAGAAACCTTTCTGGCCTCCGACTTTCATCCAGTGCCTATTCTTTTCATTTCATGTCCTTTGTGATATCAAGTGAATGTCTCCGTGAATTCAGACAAGCGATTGGTAACAATGTTCTTAAGGTCAGGCCTGTTGGACAAAGAAGGGAAAGCTACTGAGGGATTCTTGGTGCCAGCAGCTTTATTTGATACAATCCCATTCTCCTGAGAAAAAGATCATTATATCCATTTTACAGATAAGGAAATAGATAGGTCAGCAAGTTGCTCAAATGCCTGAGACCAGCAAATAGTAAGTGCAAAGCCGGTCTTTGCCTCCAGTTCTGTCTGAATCCAAGGGCCCATGTTTTCCTTCTCCGCCCCACGCCATGTCTCACAGGGCAGGCCTCAAATGATTCTGGATTTTGGACTTCCTGTTACCTCTTATAGGTCAATGTCAGATTTTCTTTGTGCTTGGTTGCTTCCTTCATTCACCTTTCCTGCATATCGTTTACAAAATTCGAGTTAAATAGAGCCTGCAATTGAAACCATTTCTTTAGACCACCCCCCCACACCACTGCACCCGCCACCTCCCATCTCTACCTCTTTTGGCAATCATTTGCAATTATGAAATCAGAATTCCTCTCTTGAACGTATCCCAAGAGCCTTTTTGCATTCAGAGGAGTACTTGCTGATTAATTGATAGTAGACAGTTGATGAAGATTTTTGGAATTTAATTTAGGGATTCCTAGGGAGCCAGCATATTTGACAAACCGTATAGCCACAGGAATTTTAATTTTATCGTTGCTTTCATTTAACAATATATTTTATTTATTAAAAAAAATTTTTTAATGTTTATTTACTTTGGGGGGGGGAGGGGCAGAGAGAGAGGGAGACACAGAATCCAAAGCAGGCTCCAGGCTCTGAGCTGTCAGCACAGAGCCCGACACGGGGCTCGAACCCACGGACCGCGAGATCATGACCTGAGCTGATGCTGGACACTTAATCCACTGAGCCACCCAGACACCCTGACAGTACATTTTATTTTATTTATTTATTTTTTAAAATTTCTTTAATGTTTATTTATTTTTGAGAGAGAGACAGAGACAGAGAGAGACAGATCATGAGCGGGGAGGGGTAGAGAGAGAGGGAGCCCCAGAATCCGAAGCAGACTCTAGGCTCTGAGCTGTCAGCACAGAGCCCGATGTGGGGCTCGAACTCATGAACTGCAAGATCATGACCCGAGTCAAAGTTGGACGCTCAACCGACTGAGTCACCCAGGTGCCCCCTCTCCCCACAATACATTTTAAAGTGTTGTCTTCCTCCAGTCACTTAACATAGGTCTCAGGAAATGAGGGAATTAGCTTCAGTGATTTTTGTCACCTCCTCCTCTCCCTCATTTTACAATTAACAAATTAACTCAAAGGGGTTGAGTAATTAAACCAAACCTGGGCAGCTAGTTGGTGAAGAGACATGAATTTGAGAATGAAAAAAATGAGTTCAACTTAACAGGGATAAATACATCTGAAATTTAGAGCTAAAGTGGGCATTTGTTTTTATTAAGAGTCTGATATCCATTGTCCCTTCTTTTGGTAAGAGAACCCTAATTTTTTTTCTCCGAAAATTACTCTTCCCACTTTTTTTTCTCCACCCACCCCACCCCCTAACCTCCACTTTCAGTCTGTGTTGAGTGGAGTGAATGCAGTCTCAACACCACGGATGTGCACGTGGTACAGGCCTGGCCAATCAGAGTGGTGCATTCCTTGCTGGGTGCAGGGGAGACCAAGTGACTCTTCCGGAGCCGGGGAGACTCAGTCCTGGGATTACTGTTAGGACAGAATCACTGGGGTTACCGAGAGGATGTCCATCTTGCCATCTTAAGGGAACTTTGCCCAAGAATTGGAACCGTCCTAGAGAAAAGCAAAGCTTAGACAATGCAGAAGACCAGTCCTGAAAACACGGAGACCCTAGATCTAGATGTGTCTGCCGGGCGACTACTGTTAGATTTTTCTCAGTTATCTGACTAATTAGTTATGTGAGACAATAAATCTCTGACCTGTTTTTTGTGTGTGTGTGTTTTCATTGAGAAAGGATACTTGAAATGAGATTTCTGGCCCTTGCAACTAAAAGAAACAAATGAAAATATGATTTAAAAAAGCCAGTTGATCGGTATAGGATTGGGACACAGGGCCTACGGCTATTTGCATGGAAAAGGATCTTAGTGGACATTCTTACTCGTATTTAGTTGAGATCTGGTTTCCTGAAATACATAATATTAAGTCTTAGTTCTATACTGAGGAACCAAATGAAATCATGTAAATTTACTTCTATACGGCAGGGATATTATTAACCCCTAGAAAAAGCTGATGATAGGCCCCATCTACACTGAACTGGCCATGTCTCACTTGGAAGATTATTTTCAGTTTTGCGAAATGGGTTTTAAATAACACAGGGACAAAGAACATGGTCTCAGGAGGAAGGGGGCTAGGATAGGTTGAAATCTTAAAATCACAACATTATTGAAGGAATGGAAGTTTAGCCAAGAAAGTAAAGGCTTAGAGGAGGAGGGGAGGGGGCAGAGGGGAACTTTACACAGACCTTAACTGAGGTCAGTTGGAAGAAAATATATTTTATCATTTTCTTTCCTTTGGCAGAACTAGGAATAGTGGTTAAGAGTTTCAGAAAGGCAGGTTTTAACTCAACATGAGCAACATTTTTAGACAATGTGTTTTTTCCACTTTGTCTGTTGTGGGCTACATGTGAACCCCATATGTTGGTTATTTTCTTAGAAGAATCAGTTGACACAGTGGTTTTGCTGTTTTTTTTTTTCTTAAGTTCATTTATTTTGAGAGAGAGAGCACGTGCACATGTGAGTGGGGGTGGGGCAGAGAGAGAGAGAGGGAGAAAGAGAAGCCCAAGCAGGTTCCTTGCTGTCAGCTCAGAGCCCAACACAGGGCTCGATCCTTGGAACCTTGAGATCATGACCTGAGCCGAAACCAAGAATCGGATGCTCAACCGACTGAGCCACCCAGGCGTGCCCCATGTTTTCACTGTTTAAGCACAGTTCCTCTCCCTCCTCCAGTTGACGACTCAGAGTAGACTGTGTTGATCTGTGTTTCATTATATCTGCATGATCTGAGCCAATGTTGGGTAAGAGTGTTATGATATACATTGAATAAATGTATGAGTAAAATGGTTGTTGGTTTTTTAAAGCTCTCACATCAAAAACAATGTTCTACCTGCCTTAAGACTTTGTGAATTTATATAATTGACTTAAGTCAGCAGAATATAATTTACACTTTTCTGCTGCAAGGGTATGCGCTTAGCAGGACCTAGACTCTGTCTACTAAGAAGGAATTAAATGTGGCCTCGTGTAGTTTCCATATACTTTATACGAACTATCCCATCATATGTCATATGTCCTGTCCTACTGTGTCATCTTGATGCGTTAACTACCCCCCAAAGGCACTTCATGGAGGACTTTGTCTTATCAAACTCCATATGCAGGTACTGGGATGTTCTAGCCTGCTCAACAGGATAATAAAAAATAGAAATAGCACACTAAGAAAGGAGGAAAACACTGTAACTTTTTTAGGAAGATGATGTGATTATCTATATAGAAAACGCAAAAGAATCTTCATACAAATAAATCAAATTAATAATAAAAATTTAAAAGGTTGCCATTTGTCAGATGATGAATCAATTCCAAGAGTAAATTGCAGCAAACAGGACAGGTAATATAAAAAAGGAAAATTTGCAGGGCACCTGGGTGGCTCAGTGGGTTAAGCATCCGACTCTTGATCTCAGCTCAGGTCTTGATCTCAGGGTCGTGAGTGCAAGCCCTGCGTTGGGCTCTGTGCTGAGTGAGGAGTCTACTTAAAAGAGAGAAGGAAAGAAGGAAGGAAGGAAGGAAGGAAGGAAGGAAGGAAGGAAGGAAGATTTACAAGTGCAGCAGAAAACATATAGAGTTGTGGAATCACCTGTTTTACCCCTGGAACTGTGTGTCAACTATACTCAAATTAAAAAATAATAATCATAAGGCTATAGGAGTGCCTGGATGGCTCAGTTGGTTGAGCGTCCAACTTCTGCTCAGGTCATGATCTCGCAGTCTGTGAGTTCAGGCCCTGCATCAGGCTCTGGGCTGACAGCTCAGAGCCTGGAACCTGCTTCGGATTCTGTGTCCCCCTCTCTCTCTGCCCCTTCCCCGCTTGTGCTCTGTCTCTGTCTCTCTCTCAAAAATAAACTTTAAAAATTTTTTTTAAAAAAGATAAAGCTATAAAACTAAAACAAATAAAATTCAAATAATTGTTACCTTTGTGATGCTCTGAGAAGGGGGCACACGGGGCTTCTTAAGGCATTGGCTTTCAAATATTTTGTTCACTTTTTTCCGAAAAGAATTTTGAAAAACCATGCATTTACTCCTACATTTTAAAGTGAACATCAAAAGTTTTCCATTATAAGTTGAGAGAGTTGCAAAGAGCATGTGGTAAACATTGACATTTTAAAATAAAACTGCTATATCTTGCTTTTAAAAGTACTCAGTGGAATATAAAATGGTAATAATTTGATATTGTCACCAACCAACGGTTTCAAACACACGTGAACAAGCTCTTAACACTAAAAAAAGGTGTAAATCTTCCCTTTTGTCTCTTTGAATCCCATTTCTCCTCTATTTCTTTCACAAACCTTTGTCCTGATACATTTGTGTGCTTGAAAGTCCTCTACTGATTACCTTTCAGATTTTCCCAAACAAAACGCATATAAAGGTAATTCTTGACATCCATCTAATTTCCTGACATTATAAGGCTCTAAGATAAAAAATTCTTCTAGATGGAGTTATGTTTTACAATTGTTACTATACACTTGATCAAACTCAAGTGTGTTATAAATATTGATAATCATTTAATATAAAAAGCGAAATTTCCTAGAAATACATCTGTTTATAAGAATCATGATCTTATTTCTATGCTTTTAGTGAAGACAAGGGTTTATACTGGTAAGAGCTGGTAGGACTACCAGTTCATTTATTTAAAAATTTTTATTAATTGGGGCGCCTGGGTGGCTCAGTCGGTTGAGCGTCTGACTTCAGCTCAGGTCATGATCTCACGGTTCGTGAGTTCGAATCCCGCGTCAGGCTCTGTGCTGACAGCTCAGAGCCTGGAGCCTGCTTCGGATTCTGGGTCTCCCTCTCTCTCTGCTCCTCCCCTGCTCACACTCTGTCTCTCTCTCAAAAATAAATAAATATTTTAAAAAATTAAAAAAATTTTTATGAATAGAAGATAGAGGAACACCTGCCAGGCTCAGTCGGTGGATTATGTGACCCTTGATCTCAGGGTGGTGAGTTTGAGCCCTATGTTGGCTGTAAAGGTTGCTACAAAAAAAACAGGAGGTAGAAAATTATAGGCATTTTATGGGATGAAATAAGATGAGGAAATTCATAATATAATCATTAAAATAGGTTTTAATTACTACATTCAGTACCACATACCAAAATGGAACAAAATTATATAAAAGTTTTATCTTTGGATCTTTCCCAGAGTTATCCTGAAAATTTTGGCAGTCCTAGAAAACATTCCAGTTACATTGAAAAGAATCAGAATCATTCTACTTCTTCAGCTGATCCACATGTTTTTATTTCCAACAAATGACACAGCCTAGGAGAGAATATTGAGAATACCTGAAAATAAATGCTTATTTTTTAAATATGAAAAAAAAAAAAAGCCCAAGTTTTTAGTGTTGAATGTTGCTCGTCCACGTTCTCTTTGTTTTGGCCTCCTAGGACCTTTCCCCATTCTTTGAAAACGGGTCAGGGAAGAAAGAGGTAAAAATCACCATTGCTTCTTCCCCTTCCTTATTACCGTCATAGATCTGGTTTCAGCACGTCTCCACAGGAGCTAAAATACTCGTTTCTAAAATGTATGCTTTACTCGTAACAGAAATACGTACAAAATGGGAAACAACACAAGCTCTGTGGGTTTACAGTACCTTGCTGAATCCTTCAGGAGACCTGGCTATCTGGAATGAGAGGGTTCACACCCCTGGACGGTGGTTCACTGTGAGATTTGCCACGGGTGCTCTGGTCACGTGGAAGGATTATTGTGAACTCAAGAGTTCTCAGGCAAATTGGCTTTAGGAAGAGTATATATGGGATTTGGGTATCGAGAAATAGACTTCCTGAAACTGGTAGGTGCTTCAGTACCCCCGGAAACTCCTTATGTACCTGAGTGGGGGTGGAGGGGTAAGGCGAAGGGGGGGGGGGGTTGCGTCTCCATTTGAAGAGCAGTGTTGATGGTATTCCTGATGTTCTATTTCTTAAAATGGGTTGAGGGAACGTGCATACCTGCTTTACCTGACTATTTTTATTTAAATTATATATATATATATATAATTACATTTATACATTTGATATATCTTTCTATAAATGTAGTTTTGGAAATCTACCATGTTTTCGCATGGTACCATGTTTTCCCTCCTCCCCCCCGCCCCCCGGGGCCCGCCCCCCGGGCGGGGGGGGGGTGCAGCCCAGGAAGATTGGGTTCATAGTGACACAAGGAAGCTGAAGGACTCTGTAAAAATCTGCTTTTGGCTCCTTTTTCTGCTTCCATTTTTGCTAGGACCTGCACCCCTACCCCACTTTAAATATGCCTCATAATGCAAATAGTGTATGTCCTCCTTATAAGGGGCAAGGAGTTAATGATTTCTTTAAAACAGATGACATCTAAAGAAGGATCAGGTGAGAATGACTGGATGAAGTCATCATATGCATATTCTAGACCACTGACACTGGACATCTTCACTCCGAGGTACCCTGGCTCCAAGGACAAAGGCCCCCTGGGCCTCTGGTTCCTGGATGCCTGAGGTGATACAGACGCCAGATCACTGTCCTCAGGAAAAACACCCAGACCCCAAACAAAGATGAGACTCCCTTCTTTCCTTTATGAGTCTCCCACTCTGTTTGTACCTGTATTCTCTCTATTCCTTCAACAAACTCTTTTGCCTCTTTCTGGCTCGTGCTTGATTTCCATCCTGTGCGAAGCCAAGGACCCTCTTGGTTGGTCCTATGGGACCCCCCCCCCCCCCCCCCCCGGGTCCTCAGACCTGGCCTGCCTGCCATCAATAGGCGTGTGTTCCCTGAAAGGGAGATATGTGCAGAATGACCTCCAAAGGAGCTGGAAGACTGAAGGACAAAGTCAATAAGTCCAGCTTTGTGAGAAATGGTTTTTTAAGGGGACTTATGGACAGAAATATGTCTTGGGCTGTGCAACAGGAGTAGATCTTCGCAAGACCACCCCCTGCTCGACCTACTTTTATAGCCCTAGAGGCTGGAAATACATGCGGGGAGCATCCAGGAGGAGAATGTTTGAGAACAGGTGCATGTCATAGTGTATCTCTGAGGTGGATGAAGGACATTTTGCCCCTAGGGAGCGCTTAAGGATGTAGTTAAACAAAAGGAAAGAATGTGGGGTGAGGGGGGCTGCGCTCAAGAAGTTTTCAGGTCACAGAAAAGCCATCATGGTAGATTTGTCCAAGATGATGGTAGTCTGGTTCACACAGTGTGACTGTGGGAAAGAACATAAAATTTTCATAGCTGGCAGGAGAATTCATCTCAGAGAGAGAACTATCTTTATGTAGGAAAATAATTAAGCCCCTTTATGGTCTAGATTTTAAAGAACTTGGTAAGCAAAGAGAAAATTCAGTATTTTACATTCAAAATAAAGGGATTTGGATGAACCCTTGCATATATGATCAAATGATCTTCCACATGGGTGTCAAGACCACTCAGTGGGGAAATGGCAGTCTCTTCAACAAATGGTGTTGGGAAAACTAGATAGTCACATGCAAAAGTATGAAACTGGACCCTTATCTGACACCATAACCAAAAAGTAATTCAAAATGAATTACAGACCGAAACATAAAACTGAAAAACTCCTAGAAGGAGACATAAGGTAAAAACTTAATGACATTGAACTTGGCAATGATTTCTTGGATATAACATCCAAAGCACATGCAACAAAGTAAAAAGAGATGAGTGGAACCACATCAAACTTAAACACTTATGTGCATCAAAGGACACAATCGACAGAGTGAAAAAGCAACCTATGCAATGGGAGAAAATAACTGCAAATCATATATCTGAAAAGGAAGGGGTTAATATCCAGAGTAGATAAAGAACACCTATAATTCAACAATGAGAAAAGCAAATAACCTGAGTTAAAAATGGGCAAAGGACTTGAACAGCCATTTCCGTAAAGATGATACACAGATGGCCAACAACCACATGAAAAGATGGTCAACATCACTCATCATCAGAGAAATGCAAATCAAGGCCACAACGAGCTATCATCTTATACCCATTAGGATGACTACTATTAAGAAAAAAACAACTACAGGGGCGCCTGGGTGGCTCAGTCGGTTGGGCGGCCAACCTCGGCTCAGGTCATGATCTCGAAGTCCATGGGTTCGGGGCCCGCGTCGGGCTCTGTGCTGACAGCTCAGAGCCTGGAGCCTGTTTCGGATTCTGTGTCTCCCTCTCTCTGGCCCTCCCCCGTTCATGCTCTGTCTCTCTCTGTCTCAAAAATAAATAAACGTTAAAAAAAAAAAAAAAAAACTACTGGGGCACCTGGGTGGCTCAGCCGGTTAAGCATCTGACTTCGGCCTTAGGTTATGATCTCATGGTTCATGAATTCAAGCCCCACATCAGGCTCACCGTTGTTGGCACAGAGCCTGGTTCAGATCCTCTGTCCGCCCCCCACCCCGTGCCCCTCCCGAACTTGCATTCTCTCAAAACTAAATAAAAACATTAAAAAAAAAAACCCTACAGAAAGTAACAAGTGTTGGCGAGGACATGTAGAAAGTGGAAGCCTTGTGCATTGTTGGTGGGAATGTAAGGTGGCCCAACTACTATGGAATACAGTATGATGGTTCCTCAAAAAGTTAAGCATAGAATTATTACATGATCCAGCAACTCTACTTCTGGGTATATACACTAAAGAATTGAAAGTAGGATCTCAAAGAGTATTTGCATGCCCACTTCCACAGCAGCGCTATTCACGATAGCAAAGGAAACAGGTGTCCACTTATGGATGAAAAGAAAAATGTGGTCTTTACATACAATAGAATATTGTTCAGCCTTAAGAAGGAAGGAAATCTTGTCACATGCTATTAC